CCTCAAGAGACGAAACCAATGTTAAGACAACCAGCGGATCGATCGGATCGGTTGATAAATGAAGCATCAGTCAAAGCAAATGGAAAAGTTGCCAGCCCCATGGTCTAAGACGCATGGCGTGAAATCCAGCTAACCGAATGTCGCAATAATGAGGGGGGTTACTTGTAAAATATGAAGTTCTGAATGGTCAATTTGAATTTAGGTGAATAAGAAAAAAAAATTAATTCTCGTCTCTTCACTTACCTTAGACGCCATTCTGGAAACCGACGATCTTTGAGTGGACGCTTTAATTTGGCGGATAAAGTATTCTTTTGCTGTAGTCGAGTTAGGTATAGTTTTATTCCGACCTGATAAACAAATCCCATGGAATTTTTGCAAATTCCTCAATTTCATTATTCGTTGAAACAAGCAAGAGAGGACGTCCAAGTAGGCAGGATTTTCGCAAGCAACATATACAATTACAAAACCAAAATGTGGAATAAATGCTTTCAAAATTCGCTTATGAGAAGCATTACTAAATGGGATACATGCCCAGGTGCTTTCAAAACCCGCCTTTTGTACTCCAAATCCAAATCGCTTAACCAGTTTTCCTTTGGGCCAATACTGCGAACCACCTAGTGCATCGCTCTTTTAATATCCTTCATCTGGCACTGACTTTCGCGCTCCAAAAGGCAAAAGAACAAGTTGTTATGTAACAAATTTCAATGAGCAAACCAACGTAGTTTACTCTGAATCAAAAGTACCACAAATATCAAGGTCACCTGAACAGCCAGCACTGACCATCGCGTGTTACTGGTGTTACTGTGATGTATCCACACGCCAGGCAAAGCTGTGCTAGACTCTACGAACATTAGCTATACACCATTAGTTTTCACATATCGCTTGTTTGTAGTATCAGTACTGCAAAAGCTATAAAAAACAATAAAAATAATATGCAAACTATAAAAAGCAAAAACTATCCTTCCTAGAATTTAAGAAGCATAAATTAATCAAGCAAGCAAGGTAGTTCAAAATATCAGAGTGTGGTAGTTCAGTAAAACAGGTTACTGAAATCAACGCTAAACAGAAATGATTACAAAAATAATTTATAAACCATAAAAAGTAAGAACTCTAAAAAACTACAAAACAAAACCTCTAAAAATAATAATTTTATATAAATAAAAAAGTCCTGCAATTGCATGTAAGTACCAGGCGGGACAGTACACGGCGTCTAGCGATGATTCAGGATGCTTATCAGCTCGAGCACAATGTGATGAAAGAAAAGGTG